GGGGGAGGGAACCTGGGAGCTGGGAGAGAGAATGTTACAAGCTCTTTTCCATGAAGATGCATGCTCTTTCCTATTTTCTATGAAGCTCACGACATTTGCTAGACAAAAATTTAAATATTAAAGTTGCAAAGAAAATTAGTTCTTTAAATGATCAAGTTCGTTACACGATGGAAAGTCGTGATTGCAACACCATAATCATCATAAATGATGTTCTGGTATTCTGCAATCGAAATCTCGTAACAAAGATTTTGGGGGTTTGATGTTTTGGTAGAGATGGTTCGTACTCACTTTCCTTGACGGCCCTGTTGCTCAGGAGATGAATGTTTTGACTGCTTGAACGGCTTCTTTCAGGTGTACGTGGTTCTCCTAAATCAGTGTATCTATACAGTGGAGCGTCAGGTAATTCTACGCGTACCCAATTCTATTTTGGAATGATTGTACAGTATTTCAAATTAGTTTACTCTACATCTCCGACTCCAATTTCGTTTCCATACGCCGAACGTTGAAACTTCTCCTCTAATATGTTGACAGCATTGATAAAATTAAATCGCATCACAAAGCAAAAACCACAACCAAAAACTTTAAGAGATGCGCTCGTACGGTAACTATTCCGTTCAAGCAACTACGATTCTTTCCAGAACTGGTATGAGTACGACATGCCCCCATTTAATGGTACTAAAAGTGAAAAAGGAAGGTAAAATGTTCACTGGTTGATTAACCCAATAGACTATTTTTAAAACAGTTCGCTATTTTAAAAATAAAAAGAGTGAACAAATAGATCTTTCTTAACCGACAAAATTATGTAATTTGTATACGAAAATTTATAGTGAATTATTACGTTTATTATGGCTGGTATCAACCACAATTCGTGCTTACTGAGTAACAAACTAGAGGATAAAAACTATATACTTATAAATAGTTGAAAAACTAGTTAAATCAATGTATACAAAGATATGCTCGATATTGATTTATTAATATTAATGTTTGTTCAATATTTTCTGAAGACACATCTCGTAACCCTAGAGGAAAGTTACGATGTTTCAATGGAAGAGATTCGGTACATTGTTTTCGTGTCGAGCACAGTCCTAATATGTTTTCGTCGAACATTTGAAGTCAAGGATACTTCTTGACAGTTTCGTTCTGAAAGATATTGTTATTGGTGTTTCCGGGCACGTCAGTTGATGTGGTCTTCAGTCCCTTTTGGAGTAACCCGGGAGGTGGTGGCGTGAGATCTGGCGTTGACCTCACCAGCTTCCGGGGAATTTCTCTCTCCATGTAACTTGCACAGTAGGGCACCGCTCCAGTTGGGACAATCTCCCGACCGGTGATCATGTGTGGTAGGGTAGTGCAAGTGTGTTTGAAGAGAGAAGGGGACGAGAAAGAGGGCGGAAAGAGCGCGGTCATTGGCCCGTTTCTTAGGACATTGCTCCCGCATTCACCTGATGTTGACCGGATAAACTTACCGCGCAGAACAACCGACCGATAGAGTTCTCCTCCAGACCGCAACTAAGTTCAAGCAATAATATCTCATATCTAGAAAGTTCGAAAATCATCGTTGCACAGGCAGCGACAATGCTGGCTCTAAGCTTAACAAGCACGATTGATAAAGGCATCTGGTTCTCTTTTACACTATTTTTATGATGAAAGGAATTCCGATGCGGCTGTAGTATCGTTTTCGATTCTATTAATTCGATTCGTTTTATTTATTGAAAAAAAAACAACAACAAACGAATATTAAACCCTGTATGCAATGTATGGGATGAGAAATATAGTTGCGCACGTTACTGAACGAAATAGAAATAATGTTTTAGTTGTCTTTCCTTTGACACAGTACCTAAGCTAGAACTGTCTTTTGGAAGGAGAAAATAGACATTTGCCGTGAGAACCCCGATTACTACACTCACGGAGACTATTTAGGAAATATTACGCGCGATCGGGTTACCAAATTTAGAAATATTTTCATTTCAGAGAGATAGTATAAGATACATATTTATTTTTTAGGTTGTAAATATGAAAAAAAGTTCAGTTAAAATTTGTGACAGTCAAAAAAAGAAATAACAAGGAAATAATCACACAATATTAAGCAAGTTTATTTTTTTCATAATACTGAATTGTTATATTTTTTGACAACACCACCAAACAGAAGAGCAGAAACTCGCTCTTAATGAACGGCGTCCGTTAAGAATAATCGAAACAAATAACATGTAACTAAGTATTGTGTAAGAGTACACTTATAAACAAAAAATACCATTTTTTGCAATATGGTTTCTTTTCCTATAAGAAGATAGTCTTTCGAAAAGTATTGTACTACATGGCCAATAATACACATAACAGTCTAGGAGGTTATAAAACTCAACTTTCACCACGGTTTACGAACTTCAGTCTCGTCTGTTATTTGTTGTTTATCGTCCCAATAACGCTATATCTATTATTTCGGAAAGGGCTCTAGCTCTCCCTGACGTACGTGCCTACCTTCATTCGCCAGCGACCAGTCCTGAGAGGTGGCTAGGGTTCTCTAGCTGCACGGACTGTCCACACGCACCGTCCGGCGCTCTCATTTAAGAGCAAGGTCGAGGCCACCTGCTGCGATAAGATCCGGCGACGCCGCCGGCCTCAGTCACTTTCGAACATGGCGTCGCGCTGGCTGGTGTTGACGCTGCTTGCGGCGGTGGGGAAGGCGGACGAATGCCGATTGAGTGGCCCTCTGGAACTTTCTAGAACGCTCTCCACCAACTCTCCTTACGTGACCGTGCCCTTCACTCCGGGAACACTTCAAGATAATCCATTCAAAAATACAAGGTGAGTGCTTCCATATTGTTTTATTTCCTTGAATAATACATAGTAAAGGACTCGTGGGAAAGACAAGTGCAGCCATTGGGTTATTGACCACCAATAGTTTGGTCAATATTTCGGGGAATGTGTTGTTGCTGTCACTTCGGAAAAGACAAAAGGAACATTGGTTATTTTCTTTAGATCATGATTACAGGCGTGATTTTTTTGTATTAATGGTAATATGATCAATTATAATTGAATATTTTTCGTGTTTTCTTAACAATTTGCATTGTTGATACTCACAATTCAAGCACTTTTTTGTCAGCTTCTATGATAATGTCCTTTTAAAACGAAACTGGCATTTTTTGGTAAATACGAAATCAATTGAAAGAAATTTCTGTGAAATATTTTCAGAACATTTCTGCATGGGATATTATGCTCCAAGACACCAGCTATTCAAAAGTATGAAGAATACAATGTTAACTGAAAATATAACGTCAATATATTACCCAAATTACTTTTCATAATCCGTTTGATACAAAATTGGTTCGTGTAGAAAGTACAAAATATTTTGATAAAACTTATTTTCTTGAAGTACTACTATTTTCCTGTTAAAACACTCCAAGGAGAGAAGTACATCTCAATCTTAAATATATTAATTTTATAATGTTTGGGATCACCTAGTACCTTAGAAACTCTTCCACTCAGGTAGTTTTATTGTATTCAATATTATAACTATAAATTACCTGTAATAACACAGAAAACCGTTACAAACTTATTTATTTTTAACCAGAAAATTATTGTAAGTTTTAAATAAATTTTATAAAAATGATTTTAAAATTAAGAAGTGGTATATCTGTCCAATGATTTTACTATTTATTACGATGTCATATATACGGGAACTATTTATTAAAAAATAGACATGTACTATTATGAATTAACCTCACAAGAAAATTATTAATACAATTATTAATATACCTCCAACGAAAAAAATATATCAAGTTAGAGTAAAATGGCTTTGAAGTTTAGCTGACAAATTTTAAATGCGGTCGCCATTCAGTTTATTATTACTAAATAACTTGGGCCATTTATAAAGCATTGTAGGCTTTCACGGCCGGAGTCAATATTCTTCATGTCTTCCGGGCTGATGGGCCGTGGTCCAATTGGCTCCGAGATGCCAAAGATGCCTCAGAGCCAATTGGACCACGGCCCATCAGCCCGGAAGACATGAAGAATATTGGGCCATTTAGTTCCTCGTGCACGTCTCTCTTCTTTGATATTTTAATCTGTAATAAATTCCATTAGCTATTTGAGATCTATAAAAATAACATTTACATATAGTTTTCTGAAGACTATATTTTTCGTGGAAGAAATATGTTCACTTTACGTAGCCTACAAACACGGTTCAATACGATTTCTCACGGAAATGGTCATTACATGCATCGTAATTACCACAAATTTTATGTTTAAAATGCTGATATTTACAAACTCTGGGCGACCTAAACAATTTCCTCCTTATGAGCAATTTGTTTTTACTTTTGTTTCAATAACAATTAAGGCGAATGAACCAAACTCATAACCTAAAAACCTCATTTCATAAAAACTATACCTTTAAAAAAATCTTCAAAATTTTCCGTATCCTTCCCCCTTAAATTCACATTCTTAATGGAATGCGTTCACAAATATTTAGATATCACAATCTTTATTGAAGAATGTGCTGTACAATTAAGGATTAGAACATAGGTGGCATTCCACCAAAGGTTCGATTAAAACTAAAATATTTAAGGAAAATTAATAAATGACAATCATTGGTGCCTAGGGTCTAGTTACTGTTAGTTATTTTTTTAAATTAGTTACACTTTGATTGGATACATTTCGATTGAAACTTTAAATAAGAAACTTTTAAAATGTTTCTGACTTCGTTTACGCGATACATTTTAAGTGGAAATTGCGTACCAGACGAGATGAAAACAGATCATGTTCCACTTTTCGGTTTTTTTTTCGTTAGAGTATTGAAGGCTAAAGCGTACATAATACTCCTTTCTTTCGCATACCCACAAATAATTCATAGCTCATGCGAAATCCTTATGAAATTTCTCACTTATGAGACTTTCGCTTTTGTACCGAGAAATAGAGTTTTAGAAATATTTGCGGATTTTGGCGTCTGTGGTCCTTGCATAACTTCAAGGTCGCAGGAGAGTTCGCGTGTCTTTCTGCGTGAGAACGGACGTTTACGCGAGGTATAAGTAGGGTTGTACAAATATTGCATCAAAAATGCATAAATTAATTCCCAGCCTTTTCCTTCTTTGAGAAAAAAACTTTATTACTACTATACACGTTTCCTATCAATTTATTCCCCGATATATGTTTCCATCTCCCTCTAATTGTGCAAACATTATAAAAGTGAACTTACGTACTACTTCACATGTGATTTCTACAATGTAGTACTTATTTTAAAAAATATCATCGCCCCATGAAACATTTTCTTAATTCGCCACTTAAGAAGTGAAGATTCATATGGTGATCGCGTTAATTTAAGAATCCGAAGATTCGTAATTTCCTTTCATTTTAGAAATTATTTTATATTTTATGTTGGAAATAAATGTAATGGTGCCTCTACATGAGCAGTGCTTCTTGTCAGTTTTCGGACAAATGAATCGACAATGATGCGCAAACTTTTGCCAGTTTACTCGGACGGTGTCAACTCAAAGTGTTTTCTACATCACTGATGGCAAAGACAAATGAACTGACAATTGCTTATACTCTATCACTGACTCATCGAAAGTGTTCACTCATCACTGAGAATACTGTCGTTAGATAACTGAAAAAAAAACACTGCTCATATAAAGGCACCTTAAGATTATGACTTTTTTGTGTCAGTCATACCAAGAACTGGTATTTATTGTTTACATTTTCTAGTAAGACGATAGTATTACGAAAAAAATTGAACGAGTTGCCGTTAATACGAATAACAAACTAGATTGGTTATAAACACGGCTATCGCAGCTATTTGCTGTTTATCGCCTTAGTGACTTAACTATAATAGCATACGTTTCAATAATGTAGCCATCCTATCAAGCACGCATAACTCGTTTTACTTTCTTGCATATTACTTACGAAGTATGTATAATAGTATATATATATATATATATATATATATATATATATATATATATATATATATAATATAATGTATAAAAGTATATGTAAATTACTTCAACCAGCGTAGCAACCATCCTCTATTTAAATCCACCGTGATAGTCATTCGTTGACCCTATTCTGAATAAGAATTTATAAAATTTTCGTACCTAATCTGCGTAAAGTAGAACACGCAACAACGCAGACGGAGTGCATCTTGTGAATCACAAAAATCTAATATGTTCGTGTATTCGTTATAAAGTGCTGCCAATTTTACTTCGCAAGATTTACAAACGAAAATTTTACGAATTAATTTTGTGAATGTTTTTGCTGTTTCTTGAAATAATCTTCCAATATCAATTGTAGCAATAATAAGGAATTCTTAGAATTTATTTAATAATTTATAATCGAGAATAAGTGAGAAAAGTAGGTCAGGGCATGGAGCGAATTTGGAAGGCCCATGTTCACTCCAAATACCGATCATCCTCACCGTGGTCGTCATGGGTTTCCTTGGGCATCGAGTCAAATGCGAAGTCGTTAACTAGGCGAAGTCACGACCTGCAGATCCTAAGTTCGGGTCCCGACGGTGGAAGGATTTTCGACAATTGCTAGATAGGTAGGGTCGAGGTCTCTCGCTATCTGGAGGAGAATTTTAGCGACCGGCTGCTCTGATCGGTAGTTTTCTGTGGTTTCTCCGATCAACACCAGACGAATGCCGGAGCCTAACAAACGGGACATGACCTACCATTCCCATTCCTTATGCTATCCTCACCCTTTTCTCATACACACACTAACCTGCACTACACTACCACATATGGCAAGAGAGCGGAAAGTTTAGAGCTTGTCCCAACTGAGGTGGTGACTTGCTGGTGGGAGAAAACCGCGGTAGCCGACGGTGGGTCGGCGCCGGATCTCACAATCCGCGGAGGAAGATCATCGCCACCTCCCGCGATAAAACATGCACCACACTTACGGGTCTAATGATATTACCAGTTGAATCGCCGCGAGTCACTAATCAACCAAGTGCAGTCACGAAGGTTAAGCGAATTGGAGACATTGCGGGTTCCTGGTGTGATGATCGTCTAAGATACCCGGGATATAATGGAGCCGAATTACTGAACATATGACTAAATACAAATACAAAATAAGGAATAATCATAATTAAATATTCTGCTGATGAGTAATTTGTTACATAGTTCTTTTACCATGAGATACCTTCAATATATTAAACAGAAACTGCATCTTCATTGGGCGTTGACTTTTCCGGATCCACTGATTTTTAGGGGACCCGGTGCGGTGCACAACTCCGCCCCTGATTCACTGAGTAAAAGCTAAGATGGCCAGATGGTGTCAGTTGTGTTACCGTTTGATCGTAGTGTAGTTTTTCTCTTACTGTTGTGACGGTTCGCCTGTGAAAGCGTTATGGAAAACTTAAAATAACTAAGAATGTGTTTGATAATTTTGTTTCCTGTTTCAAAAATTGGCAATAGAAGCTTACCAAATGCTTCAACATGCTTGTAAGGAAGATGCTATGAGTTGCACACAAGTTTTTGAGTGTTTTGAGGTCTTTAAATGGGGTGAGATGAGTGTTGACGACCATGCTCTCATCTCTTAACATCTCGAAACGATGTAAACATTCAGAAAACATGCCAAAAAATCAACAAGGATCGTCATTTCACTATCGACGAAATTTCTGAAGTAAAAATGAGTTGGAGTTCATGCCAGTGGATTTTGAGTGAGTATTTGCAAATGAGGCGTGTTGCCGCTAACTTTGTTCCTTGCCTTCTCACAGAGCGTCAAAAAATCACTCGATTGCGTCTGCACCAGGACTAGAAAACGGGCGGTCTGTTGTTCTCCCTCCCCCATGTTCTCCCGACCTAGCCCCGGGTGAGCTTTTTCTGTTCCCAAAAATGAAGAAAAATCTAAAAGCGAAGAGTTTTGATGATATCGAGGCAATAAAAAGAGCTTCTCAAAGGGCACTGGACGATATCAAAAGGGAAGAGTTCCATAGTTGCTTCGAATACTGGGAAAAAACTGATAAGTGCATTTTATCTAATAGAAAATACTTTGAAAATGACTGAAAAAATATGTAAAAAATGTTATAAATAATTTTTTATAACGATAATCCTGTTTCCTTTGGGTCTCCCTTCGTACACAGTAAAAAGTTGGTGTCGGCATTCTAGAGCTCGAAAGCACGTCAACAGATTATACCTCTTCCAAATACACCATACGTCCAGTCCAGTATAATGGATGTGGTATACTCCAACGGTTCTTTTTTTCGGTGAGAGGATTAAGACGTCGTGTGTGGACTGAAGAACTTGTATTTGCGCCCCCAACTCTGAAAATTACTTGTGCTAGTTGGGAACACTTTCAACTCGTATTATAATAGTTTATTATAGAATATAATATTATAATATAACTCAACTAGTACTATAACAGTTCTTAAGTCATAAATAACACGTGAAAGTAAGTGATTTTGTAGCAATACTATTTTGTTGATTTACTGAAATAAGATATATATTCGTTAAATAATAACGCATGCAAATGATACGACTACTACTACTACTACTACGAATACTACTTACAAGCTTACTACTTAAAAGCAACGATATTTATGAAGACGCTTGTGTTTGTTTTCTAGGTATCGCATTAACGACTTCTGTGTTGGTGAGCACACTGGCACGCATTTGGATTCACCATTTCATTTCAGCGAAAGTGGATGGTCAACGGATCAGATACCACTAAATAGACTCATTGCAAATGGTATGAAGTACACCTTTCACCAAAAATATCAACTAGAATTTAGAGTAATATTTTATCTGGAGGTTACTCCCCTTCAGATGATCATATCAAAATTCAACTAAGAGTATTTATTTTACGTAAAAAGTCGGGAACAAAATGTGATTTGGATAAGACTCTTTATCGTAAGTTTAAATTTGACATTGTTTAAGATGAAGTAGAGCGTCAATAATTCGGACATGAAAAATTAGTCGATTAACCGAGTTCAATTTTGACGAAAAACGTTGCATTTAGTGTATACTGTACGTAAGTACAATTGTTGTTGTTTAAAAGCACCCAAACAACTTCATTTTTTAACTATTTATTAAATTATTGTACTTAAACGTATTCACTACACTTCTGTAACCATTAGTGATAATTATATATATATATATATATATATATATATATATATATATATATATATATATAACCATTAGTGATAATTATATATATATATATATATATATATATATATATATATAAAGTTCTTTTACTTTGAATATATACATCTTCATTATGGTTCATTTTGGATATCGGGACAGACTGAGAGCCCCAGAACCAATCAATCAGGATTATCGATGTCCTACTGCATTTCTATTAATAAAGCATTCATTTGGTTTTCTAGCATTGTGGCAAAAGCATAATTAGATACCATGAATAACTTGCGCGAGGGATGTGGTAGGCGTGAGTGCGAAGGGCGCGGTCGTGCGCAGGCGTGTTCCTGAACGTGACGGAGCAAGCGGCGGGCAACGCGTCCTTCCGCCTGCAGCCGTCGCACGTCGACGCGTGGGTGGAGCGCCACGGGCCCTTCCCCGACAACGCCGTCCTCCTCGTCAGCTTCGGCTGGGCGCAGCGCTTCGCCAACCGCACGCTCTACCTCGGCACCGCCTCCACCAACTTCACCGAATTCCGCCAACCAGGTGAGGAGCATCGTTTTAAACATCGATGTATGAAAGGCGATGGTTTTTGGCATCGATGTTTTGTGAATAACAAATTTCCCATTATCAAAAGTTTGTCAGAATTAAAATATGAAATTACTGATGGAACCATTGTCATGAGTTCGATCTTATCAGTTTGAGTGTATGTAAGATATTCTTGTTACTGGTACAGTTTTAAGGTTTCTTTTACTATTGACAATTATAATTAAGATTAATTATTTCGTTTCAAGGCTCGTTTAGCCCCATCATCAGGCAGTTACTAGTTGAATAATAAATATATCGGCATAAAACATTGCAATTGATAATGGAGATATAGTTATCTTATGTGATAATATTAGTACATTGTCGAAACGTTACAATTAATATAATTAAATTTGTTTTATGAAAAGCACTCATATAACACAAACCTTTTGAACTTTAATTAATGAAACAAATAAGGTATTGGAGATTAACCCATAATACAAGCATGATGCCTCACATTTCAAAAACCAATCAACAGAGATTCGAAATATTGTTAGACTAATAACGTTAAGGTTAGCGGTTAAAGTTGCAGCGCGACTCCAAGGTTTTTGCCAGTCAGACAGTATGGAATCCGAAGTGGGGTTAAAAAAGGGGGAAATAAGGGACGAGATTATTGTTATTTCAGTCTTAGTTATTTTAAGGACTCGAACCTCATTGCACTGGCAACAGCTATACATGAATATGGAAAGCGAAGTTCTCTTCAAAATAATGGGATTATTACTATAATTGCTACCCGAAATACATCGAGCATGCATAGCATTGTGAAGAAAGTATAAGTAGATAATATGACTAATTATAGGCAAATCACTGTCAACGCAGTGTTAATCAATATTCATAATCAAGTAAATAAACATGGTGTTTTTGTGCTAATTTTCAGGAATTTCAGTGGAGGCGGCAAGAAGATTGGCCAACATCGATCAACTTGTAGGAGTTGGCGTTGACACAGCGTCTGTTGACGCACCGGGAAGTGGAGATGTGCATGTGATTCTTGCTGCAAAGAATATGTACAACTTGGAGCACGTGGACTTGGACCAGCCGTGTTTGCCAGGTACACAAAAACAGTTCGCATGAATACGTATTCAGTTTTATTACACTAATTGTTCCCAAGCGAATAATTCTCATCGAGTTCAGCACATTTGTAACCATATATTGCACTTGAATAGCACGGTTTAGTCAGTTTTTATGAATTGTACATTTCTTACAAGTTTAGAAACGGAGTTACAAAGTAGTGCTTCGCGGACACAGTTTTTTTCTCCTTTGCGCATTGCGTTGTCTTAATTCATTATAATACTTTCAAGAGCTATTTTAACCATGCTAAATTGGATACTCTCAAATCTCACTTTCTCCTCAGAAAATTAAAATATGACATTGAAAACTCCAAAGGGAGGATTACAAGCAGAGATTTTGTTTTGCAGCTAAAGGGTTCAAGGTGTTCTCGATGCCTGTGAAGGTCCAGGGAGGTACTGGAGCACCCGCTCGTGTCATTGTCGTCCCCTACTAATCAAGACCACAACATTTGGCTGCAGCAACGCCAGCACAGGAAGCCAAATATTTATTATTTCACCCTTATGAATTATTTTCCTCAGTTGTAGAAAAATGTACACGTTGAAAAAATAAAAAAATATTTTCCAAAGATCAGTGTCTATGATTTTTAAATAAAATGTAGAAGGTAAAATATGTCATGTAATTTAACATTAATGAATTTAGGAATTTGATTTTCTCTGATAAGCAAAAACTCAACGAAGGATGACGGTTACGTGGTGGTAAGACTTCTCTTACATTAACGACCGTGATAATTTTTGCCGTTTGGATCGCCTGATTTATATCTATAATTAATGCTTTACTTATTTTGTCTTACATAATGATTAGCACACTATAGTTCCGTACATCCATATTGAATTAAAATGTATCTTCATTTATTAACTTTTAATTTTTTTGTACTACGAATATTATTTCAATTTTGTTCAATTAAGAAAACGATTTTTCTAACATTTGTAAACAATAAGTGAATAGATCTCTCATTTAACTATAGAACTGTACGTCAAATTACCTTCTTTCAATTGCGAAATTATTATTAACCTTTGCGATATTTAATATATGTAGTATTAAATGATTTAATTACACATTATGTGGTGAAAGACATTCATTTGAAAATCGGTATTTGGCGTATCGGTACGTATGTAAGCACGGGAAAGTGCGAAGACGAACATGAACGTTCATTCATCTCTAGCATTACTCAGATTTTCTTTTCTCCATATTCTCTTAGAATTCTTCAAGTTTAATGCGTTTCGAGACAATATTAGGCGGGGGCCGAGCGGGGGCCGAGCGGGGGCCGAGCGGGGGCCGAGCGGGGGCCGAGCGGGGGCCGAGCGACGTATTTGTCGTGGCGGGCGCGCGCACTCCTCGGCGCCTGTGTGCAGATACCGCCGCGCGTGCGCTCGGCTCCGATTTTTCTAGAAGCCGCTGCCAATCTGTTAATGAACGGACGGCGCCGTCCGCCGAGTGATTAATACCAGCTTCACGTTAACAAAACTCCCGTGAAGCGATCGAAGGGAACGCTAGTTGTGGGATGGTAGCATCATATGCTTAAAGGGGAGAGTGGTGCGGGCAAATGGTGCGGGTGTGGTGAATGACAACTGATGCGAGACGACTGATGGTGAGCGAGGGTTCGGGGCGGGTGGAATCGGATTGAGTAGTGTTGGGCGAGTAGTGAAGGGCGAGCGAGCCGAGTGGTGAAGGGCGCGTAGTGCGAGAAGGGTAGTGGGGATTGAATAGTGTGGGACCAATTCAATTCAATGATGACTTGTGTACTAGTGGAACGGGGCGATGAAGGGACTTGCCCAGAATGAATGGTGCAGAATGAGTGAAGGAGCCGGTGATCATAAGTAGAGAGTTGAGGGGCTGGCGAGAGAGGGGTCAGGACGAAACGGACGGAGAGCCTCTACGCTCGTTCCGACATCAGCGAATTCCACAGAAAGTATGAATATCTTACAACGGAAAAGTTACAAAAAGTATGCGAGTATTAAGAGTGTGAAATGAGAAGTTAGACAACGAAAACTACTAGTAAAAGACTGAATGATATGACATACAGAAACCACGAATCATGATAATAGATGCCATCATGGGTCACGGAATTCAGATAGAAGGAGCGGTTTCAGACTTAGAACTGAGAATTTCTTAACGTCGTAGAAAAACGATTGTGGATGGCGACAATAACAGGAAAAAAAGACACAAAATATTTGAATGGGTGAGTGGAAAACAGTAGTAGTCCAGAAAGTTCATTCTGAGATAATGCTAGTTATAACTTTCGATTAGATGTGACAAAAACTGTTCATTAATAAACGATTTTAATGATGATAACGATACGATAATTAATGATAATTGATGACGAATACGAATGATAATTAATGATAATCAACGATACGAATGTGTTATGAGGAATAATTGCAATACAACTTTTACATAATGTGTTACAATTTAAACGAAAACTGTGGACTTGTTGTCTTTTTCATCTCAACGAAGATTTACCAACCAATTTCCGAACAAACAACAATGCATCACAAAAATACCACATTTGATTGTGAGAGTACACATAATAATAGAACTTGTGGTCGTCCAAAATTCAAGTAGAAACATTACGTAGAGCTCTTATATTATAACTAGTTTCTTTCCAAGACATTTTTTGTGAACATACTGTGTTTTGACGTTCAATTCACTTGGTATAAACGTTACAGGAAAAGAGTAGTGTGCAAATTTCGTTTGAAAGAAGTCTATGTATTCTCTTATCTTAACACGACTTTTGTACTTGATAGCGTGTGGTCTGCTTTTACAATTTTCCCTCCCATCTTCAGGAGATAGATGTGAAAAGTAAATTTCTGTCAGTGATTGAACCTGAATCTGTGATATCTCATTTAATTTCTTAAACGATTGTTTACAAATTTGACTATGAACACATTATTTCAACACAAAATAACGTAAATTACCCGCTCTTTACTTATTGTTTCCCTCACCTCTCGCTCTTCGTGCATTGGCAAATAAGAAAATTATCGCTTTCGAGCACTCCGAGTCGCCAGAAGTCTGAAATCCTGAGTGGAAGAGCAGTACATGATCAGGACAGATACTGTTTCTTCACTCACCAAAGAGAAGAAACTTCAAGATTTGAAGACAAATGATCTCGTATTGAATTGATTTCAGTCTCAATGAGTACCTCTTTAAAGTTCCAAGCCTTCTGGAATAATTTCTGTAAAAAAAACAACAAAAAGCAAACAAACGAAAGTGACCAATTTTGAACTAGTACTCTTTTTCCACTCATCCATTCATTTGGAGAATTTATTTGATAGGAGACGCAAATAAATTTGTGTTGAAGGTAAGTTACCTCCATTTCTTTCAATAAAACGAAAATACACAGAACATGGAAACATAGTGTATTAGAAAATGGAAAACAGAATTCGTCCAGAGTAGAGCAATGATTGATTAATTTATTAATGTTTCCTTGCACACAGCCATTCGTCCTGTCAGTGCAGGGACTGCTTTTTATGCCTAAAGGTGGCGGTGTTCCTCCGGATGGTGGATCCTGCACCGCCCTGCTTCCGACTAGTCTTCCGACACGTGTGGTAGTGTAGAGCACTTGTGTGTAGGGAAGCGGAAGTGATACGAGAAGGGAGAGATAGGAAAGCTCTGTGTCCCGTTTGGGAAGGTACTGCTCCTACATTCGCCTGGTATGGATCTGAGAAACCATGGAAAACTACCGATCACAGCAGCTGGTCGCTAGAATTCTCTTTCAGACGGCGGCTGATGTAAGGCAATGGAACAACCAGAAAACACGAGTAAAACGACATGGATATTCAAAAGAGAAATGAGCTTCGACTGGGCAAAAAAATTACTAATTGTGCAGTATTTACTCTCTAACACTTTAGTGAACACGGGGAATGCGGTGTAAGGAAAAGGAACATTTATTGCATCATTATCAAACCGGTCGATTGAATTGAATTGAATTTGCCTTATTTTACGTGGCGAGACTCAGGCCATTAGGCCTGCTCTTCCGTCTGACCACGCAAATTTCGCTACGCTCCTTTCACCAACTAGCGGAGAAAGGAGGTATCTTGGGCGAGAAACAGGCGACTTGAATTTAGCTCAGAGGCGTCATTTAGGCTTGAGGATCTTTTACATGCAAGTAAATCTACGAACATGGGACAGCCGGCTTTACTTCCCCTCCGAAGGAAGGCGTACGAAGGATTTTTTTCGCCCTTAAAAATCCACGGCTTCGATCGGGTTTGAACCCGCCAACTTGGGTACAACAGTCCAGTACGCTAACCGTTACACCATCGCCGCCGCCGCCGCCGCCGCCGCCGTCGATGGGGAACATCTGGCCAAATGTTTGTTATTACCCAACAGTCTCAGTTTAATCTAACGGAGAATTCATCATAGTAATCACACGGAGGAAGGGGGGGGAAAGCAGAAATTTATAATGATTATAATGACTATCAAACGGTCGATGTGAGCACCTGGCAAATTGCTCGTTATTATCCAATAGCCTCCCCAATTTAATCCATGAGAATTCATCGTAGTGGTGGCACGGAGGAAGCGGGAGAAACAGTTTATAATAATTCCTGGAGGACATAACATATTGTAATAAAAATACGTTCAAAGTAAACATGCCTTTATTTCTTTCGAATCTTTTAAGAAATTAAAAAAGAAATGTAAAAATAACGTAAAAAACTCAGTCATGATTATGTTTAAAAGTGATTGACACAAGGTGTTTGAAATTTTTTACCACAAAACCTTAATCAAGCGTTAAAATGGATCCGTAATGGATGAACGAACATTCTGCATTTACGCAAGTCATTGCACTCTAGTCTGCACTAGACAAAATTAGTTTCTTATTTAATACAATATACGTACGCAGTACAGACAGTTTCTGCTGGAGCCAGTGATGGACCAAAAGGAGGGATTAAAGGACCAACCTTTTCCAAAAACACTTTTTGTACTTTCTCGCCCTTACTTCCAAAGAATTGTGCGGAAAAGTGCGAAGTTTCGACAAAAAACTGTTATTGCCGGGCCGTGGTAACGAAATATTGGACAATTCGTCTCTATACACAGTAAAGATGCTTCCTCTAACACGTGTATTCAGAATCCATGTTTCGTGGGTTCTTAATACTGAAAAATCAATTGATAACAAAACGTCTGTCTGTGGTCAACGCAAGCGCCTAAATCATTGAATTGATTTTCTCCAAAATTGATATTTCCCAATCGATCTGAACGAACTCGCGGCTCTCTGAGTTTGAAACGGGTATGTTATACCTAAAAATACTTTACATAAACAATTATTATTATTATTATTATTATTATTATTATTATTATTATTATTATTATTATTATTATTAGCAGTGGCATTGTGAAACTGAAGAAAACGAATGTGGAAGAAAGACATTGCTGCTCGCTGTATCGCAGTGCGGTGAAGTGAAGTGTGGTGAAGTGGAGTTCTATGAAAGATTGCACGGTGAAATGTTCACGTGATTTTGTAAAGTTTGTATATTTTGTATAGTTGTTAAGTTCTGTAATGTAAAGGTAGTGTATTCTGCCACCAAGTTCTCACAGTAAAATCGCACAAATTTGAAGCAATTTTTCACAGAAAAGTTTTAAGCTTTCGAAAAACTTCAGAAGTCATTTGAAGCACATTAACTCACAAATACAATAATATACAAATTGCTGGAAATGTGTATATTACTGGCGTAAGATATATTTAAAAAATACAGTTGTGTAATAAAAAAATCCCGAAATGAACATTATGCCCTATCAAAGAGATCCGTTTGAAAAGATTGAAGAAAAAAATTGGAGTCGCGTATGGGGA